TTTGATTCGAAAGGGCTGGGCCCCAACCCGGCCATTGCTTTGCGATCTGATCCCATTGGTTGGCCGCAGAAGAATTCTCTTCGCATGCGATGTGGGGCCGTCCATTCCAGCGTTCAAAGGAGGCGTTGAGTCTTCGTGGGACCTCGTCATAGGAGCAGGTGCTAGTCTGGTCGGGGACTTGTTAACGGCGAGGTCGAAAGGTCAATCCGAACAGCGGAAGGCCACATTCGAACATCGAGGAGTGTTCTGTGCGACAAGTGCAATGTTCTGTTCGGTGAAGAGCATGTCCTTTATACCTTGTTCGGTAGCTCGCGCGTCTTCTCTGATTTACAAGTTTGCGAAAGACGCCGATGGCAGGGCGGCCCGTGAATTGAGCCGAGGGCGAACGTCCAACGCGCCGTTGCCCGACTTCTTGGAATGCGCGCCATGCGCCGGAAGACTCCTTTTGCGGAGGGCGGCGACGACTTCTCAGACAAGCGTGAGAGCGGTGTGCTTCTTGGAGTATATGAAACTAGCCGAGAGCGCATCATTGGCACCCCAGAAGGCGCAATCAAGTCTCGCGAGGGCAGGCGAGGAGCGGGCGATGAGGCGAATTGGATTTTTGGAGGGGCTTACAGAACGAAAGAGGGCTACCCTGGCAACTGGGCCCAAACGCGCGTGGATTGGAAGGTGAAACCAGAGTTGTTTTACCAATGGCTGTGCCCAGTCAAGGTTTGGTTGCAGGCGCCCGGCCGTTAGTGGCTCGGACTTGCAGCGGAGATGATGGCGCGCGTGGCCGCGGGGCCCTCGCGGGGGCTCAATTGGTGCGGGGCTAGAGCCGGATGAGATGCAACCCGCGAGCCTCGCAGTGCATGTGGTCGAGAGCAGAGGGCGAGACGGCCCAGACGTGCCAGGCAGATTGGGGGCGTCTCTGATGAGGGCGGCGCCCGGCAATCCTGGCAGGGCGTGGGCCGGGAGGATCAATTTGTAGACATTGGGTTATTAAGGGCGAGTTGGCCAGTCGACGCACCGCGGAACCGTGGCCAAAATGCGCGCGCCGCACCTACAGACGCGGAGTGTAGAGCGCCGGGGCGAGTCGAGCGATGGGAAACGAACGCGCTTTTTAACTTTTTATCCGGACTATTGAGGTGGGCGATGTAACCGACGATTGGAAGGAAGCAATGGGGGGGAGTTACGAGGTCCGTGGACGGGATGGGCCGAATTCTGCGTAACCCCTGGAAGGAGATGGCGATGGGCGGCGAGCTAACGTGATCCCGCCGAGATCAGCGTCAGCGGAGAGACGGGCGGATGACCATTGAGCCAAGGAGAGGCCCAGATAAGTGACGGGGGATTTATGGGCAAGCCCAGAAGTCGGAGGAGGCGAGGAACCTGGCAACGAGAACCTGGAAGAAACTGTGCCCGAGCAGGATAGTGACAACATGAACGCGGAGGTACGGGGCGGGTTCAAAATTACAGGTTGGGATGTGGATCTGGTGGAGTGGCTACTCGGCGCCAACTTGGACGTCGTTCAACAGGTGCGAAACTTTTGGGTGGCAGTGAGGCTGTTCGGCGAGGGTCGGCATGTTGTGCAGGCGCGCTGAGGCCTACCTGCCAGTCCGAGTTACTTGCATGGCAGCGAAAAATGTTTTCGTACCCGTGGTGGCCATGGACCTCGCTGCTTGCGATGCGCATGGAGGCCGATGGTAGTTTAATAGTGCGGCGATACGACGAACATGAAACACATCGTCCATGCCGAAGCAGCCCCATTGTTAAAAGTGAGGTCAGTGTGCGCCGTTTCAGCAAGACTATCAGCGTGTCATTCGGTTGGCATGGGTAGGAACATGTAAGGGTAATGTTTGCCATCTGGGTTTAACACTTCAGGGTCGCGTTGGAACTCTGCGATTCAGGGAATTGCAGGTTATGTTCTCTCTTCGATCAACCTGTGGGCGCCTCGAGCTAGGCCGCGTCGCCCGCGCAAATTGTTTTAAGGCGCGACGAATTGCGGGCGCGCGATGGCGATTTGTGCTGTTATGACCTGAAGGAGGGCCCCATGAAGAAGGGCCCTATGAAGGAGGGCCCCATGAAGGAGGGCCTCATGACGGAGCCCGCGCGGCTCATGGCGAATATTCCGTGCTGGAGGAGCCCTCTGCGCGGAATGCCAAAGCCAGCGCCGCCATTTCTGGTTAATTGAGGGGGGGCGTGGCGAGGGGGTCAGATATTTGTCCAGACCGACTCCGTCGAGCTATACTGTATACTTGAAGGCCCAGTGCGTCTGACAACGGCTGATGACATCGCGGGGTGCGCATCCAGGAAACGCGGCGCCGGGGCCAGCGGGCGCGAAGCGGGCGAAATCATTCGTTTGAAAGATCTGGCGCGGGCCGAACGAGCATGCAAATGCGCCCGCGATAACCGGGGCCAATCCGGTCCATGGCGCATCGCGTCTCGTGCCTCCAGGGGGCCCAGGGCCGAAGTGGAGTGCGCGCCCGCGAAGGTTCACCCGGGACTTGGACGCCGGTCAGGAAGTCGAGGATGCGGGAGGGCCGGCGAGATTGCAGGGGGGAAGCGGGGGGGGGGTCAGAGGAGGAGAGCGCAACGCAGCCAGCGAATTCACGACGTCTAATTCCGCCAAAGTATCTGCGGAGTTCGCCGACGCCAGGGGTGGTTGAAACTTTTTGGGACGCGCGAGGCATTTGGGAGCATTGATGAGGTGCGGCCCGTTGCCAGAAGTGGCGCGCGTGCATGTGGTTCGCCGAGAAGATGGCCGCATGCGCGCTTGGGGCAATCAGCCGTGGGGCGAGTTCGATCCAGAACTCACGTTTGTTCGGGGGATGGGATCGGGCCAGTCAGGAAGCCAGGGGGCATGAGGTTCATTTGACAGCGAAGGAGGAGGGATGGTGGGCCGTCGGCGGCCACGCCCCCCGCTGCTGCGAGGTGGATCGATATCAACAAGGGCGACGAGGCCAAGCCTGAATTCAGATCCATGCTCGCGCCCCGGCAAGTTAGGCGCGCTTCCAAGTGCGAGGATATGTCGCGGCCGCCCCTCCGTTGGAAGCTCAGAAACAGCCCCCCCCATGGCAGTTGCTGAGGGAATAGGACTGGCCCGAGAGGGGCGTGAGACTGGGCTCGAGCTGGGATTCATTGGTGTTTGACGGGCCTACTTGCGTGCCATGGGACATTCCCATCGCGCGGCCCGAAGGAGATCGCGCGCTGGGCATGAGTGGGAGATTATAGAAACAACGCGCGGCGCTCTGGACGCCACCGGGAACTGGGAATATTGTAATATGGTTGCGCGTGAAATTTGCTTTGACAGCGGCAAGGTGCCCCCATGTGCGTTCGAACATCTGTCGCGGCGAATCTGGCTAACAGTTCGCGGGGGCGATTTTACTTCATCGTGTGGCGGCGTGGGTCGCGACTGGTTCGAGGGAGAAATCAAAGACACAATCGAAGTGAAAGTTCGGGGCGGACGTGGGCCAGGGCCAACGTAATCGAAGTCAATCAGATTTCCCAACTGAGTTGTGGGATGGAACCGAGATGGTTCATGGCATGAGGTGGCCCAGGGGCGCGCTAGGATATCTGTCAAAGAGTTGGGACTGGATCAATGCAACGTGATGCGTGAGAACCCAAGGGAGAAGCAGCCTTGCGAAGAAGAGGGCGTGGGGCCCCGATCTAAGCGCGAAGTCGACCAATGCCGAGCATGATTGACTCGAGCCAACTCTGCGGCGCAGAACCGTTCGGACGTGCAGTTTTCAGTTTGGGAGCTTGCGCGCTCTATGTCAGCTCCGACCCGAGGGGCTTCGAAGAGCCCCGGACAGCTGGGGAAGTAGCTGGATATCAGTACTTGTACGAAGGGCGCCCAAGTTAGTTAACAGCTTGCACTGACAGTGGCGATGCTGGGTGTAAGATGGTACATACATCAAGAATTGGAGGAATAGTGATGTGGATGTTGAATTTATAGAGTCGTGGAGTTCGATTCGTTGTGTAGTGGTTTTCTCATTTAGAGAAGCGATGCATTTTGGAATTGTGAAGGATGGGTCAGTAAAGTTGGGACTACAAACAATTATCACAGATTTCGCGATTGATTGTCAAATCGCGTCAAAGAACGATGCTCGCGCGGCCATTGCTGTTGCGAGCTGGCGAGGACGAGGATAAGTCATTAACATCAAGGTTTGCTAACTGTTAACGGACGGTGCGAGCTGGCGCCCTCTATGGAATGTTCGTTTAAACCATATCCTGGTTATGAACGCGTGCCGTCTCGGCAGAGACTTGTATTCAGGATGAGTTGAAGTCCAGGTGCTCGTCTGTATTTTCTTCAGGTTACTTTTTAACCATTATGCGTGATGTGGTGCTTTGCCGCGGTTCGAACGGCGTATCGCGTGTTAGGGACCCTCCTGTACCATTATGCCCCAATTATGGTCGCGTTTTGCCTGCACCTCTTCTGCCTCCAAGTAGTTTGCACATGTAGATTAGCCACGGTGCGTCTTATTTGTTCTGATTGGCCAGTGTGAAAGTCCCGTTTTAACGTACTTGTCTTCAAATCTTCTGCTACCCAGTTCGCCATACTTGAGTTTCTCACCCGCCGCATTCGCCGGCCATCCTTGCAGATGGGGGAGTCAAACATGCCGTTGCGACCGGGTGAAAAAGGGATGCATTGGTACAACAGTTACTCAATTTGTGTAGCAGTAAAAGTGTCGTGGCAAGTTTGCGCCCAGGAGCAGGATGATGATGATGATGAGGAGGAGGAACAGGGAGAGGGGGTGGAGGAAGAGCAGGATGATGATGATGATGATGATGATGATGATGATGATGATGATGATGATAATGATGATGATGATGATGATGATGATGATGATGATGATGATGATGATGATGATGATGAGGAGGAGGAGGAGGAGGAGGAGGAGGAGGAGGAGGAGGAGGAGGAGGAGGAGGAGGAGGAGGAGGAGGAGGAAAATGAGGAGGACGAGGAGGAGGAGGAGGAGCACGAAGAGGATGGTGGGGAAAAGCAAGATCAAGAACCCGAGGCTCCATCTCGCGTGCCGCCCCGTGCTCGGCCTGGTGCGCTGGCGCGAACCCAGGCGGCCAGGGGGCTGGGACTTGCCCTGCGAACCTCCCTTGCCTCCCTCCCCCTCCTGCCTTCATGCACTCTCCCAGTGGCGGTCAGGAGAATCAGGCTGGAGAGGTCCAATTCGGAAATCGAATTCGGAAGTCGGAAATCTGAATTCGGATATCCGGGTTCTGGGTTCCCAGGTTCCAGGTTCTGGATTGGACCTCCCAGTTCGGATAGCCGAATTCCAGGTTTTTGGTTCCGGTTTCGAGGTTCCAGATTGGACCTCCGAGTTCGGATATTCGGATTCCAGGTTCTGGGTTCCGGGCTCGAAGTTTCGGATTCGGCTTCCGAATTCGGATATCCGGTTTCCGGGTTTTGGGTTCTAGGTTCCGGATTGGATTTCCGAATTCGGATAGTTATCCGGATTCGGGGTTCCGGGTTCCAGGTTCCGGATTGGATTGTCGAGTTCCGGATTCCGGGTTCGGGTTCCAGGTTCCGGATTGGACCTCCGAATTCGGATGTGCGGATTCGTGGTTTTGGGTTCCGGATTTCAGGTTTTGGGTTGGGCTTCCGAATTCGGATACGGGTTCCGGGTTCCGGGTTCCAGGTTCCGGATTGGACCTCCCAGTGCGGATAAGCGGATTCGCGTGTCCGGGTTCCGGATTCCAGGTTTTGGGTTGGGCTTCCGAATTCGGATATCCGGATTTTGGGTTTGGGTTCTGGGTTCCAGGTTCTGGGTTGGTCCTCCGAATTCGGACATGCGTATTCGGGGTTTTGGGTTCCAGGTTCCGGATCGGACCTCCGGATTCGGATATCCGGAGTCTGGTTTCTGGGTTCTGGGTTCGAGGTTCCTGATTGGATCTCCGAGTTCGGATATTCGGATTCCAGGTTCCGGGTTCCGGGTTCCAGGTTTCGGATTGGACCCCCGAGTTCGGATATGCGGATTCGTGGTTCCGGGTTCCGGGTTCCAGATTTGCAAACATGGAGGCATCTTCGAAAAATGATTTGTTCGCAACATCTTCTCAGCTTTGGGTGCCCAGGACAACAACACGGCTCAAGATGCACCGAAGTTTGCCCAATACGTGTTCAAAGCAGCTGTCTAAGACGGCTCAATATATCTCTTCCTTTTTCCCGGAAAGGGCTCGGGCCCAGGATTCTATTTTAGTTGGTTTATCCCGCCCCGGAAGAGGGCTGGGATATATTCGCTCGATAGAAAACGAGGTAAAGTCCAATTCGGCGTGAAAAAATGCGTTTCGCGCGTGCCCGCTCGAGGAAAGTGGACCCCCCACCTCGGATCCTCGATACATAACTCAGAGGCCAGCAACATATGTACACGTACGCGGTGAGCTTCCCCTGGAGGGCGTTTGAACGAGGACGTTCGTGCACTCAAGATCGCGGAGGGCGTACATGTACATATGTCGTTGCTCGCTCAATAACGGGGTCCGCGGACTTCCGTTTTCTTTTGTGAAAAAGAAAGTGCGGGGCACTTTTAGCAGAATCGTAAAACAAACGAGGTTTGCATGGAGCCCCGACCGCGACGCGGAAAAGCACCCCGCGCGCAGGAATTCCGAGGATGTCTCGCACGTGCCACGTCCCGCGCGCAGGAATTTCGAGGATGTCTCGACTAATTCGCTTGTTTTTCGAGGATTTCCGTGAAAGTGCTGAGTTTTTGCTTGCCCGCTCGAGGATGGTGCGTCCCCCGCGCCAAAAAATCGAGGACGTCTCGAGCGAAACGCTTGTTTTGCAAAACTGGGACCTGGACGCCCCAGCAAGCCCCAGGAGGCCCTGGGAGCGCGGACGCGGCGTAATCTACGAGGGATCGTCGCGTTTGGAGCGTGGACAACGCGTAATTTGCAAGGGATCGTGGCCCTCGGAGCGCGGGCGCAGCATAATTTACGAGGGGTGGGGGCCTTGGGAGCTCGAACGCAATATAATTTACAAGGGATCGTAGCCCTTGGAGCGCGGGCGCAGCGTAACATACGAGGGATCGGGGCCCTGGGGGCTCGGACGCAGCCTGATTTACGAGGGATCGTGGCCCTGGGAGCGCGGACGCAGCGTAATTTACAAGGGGTCGGGGCCCTGGGAGCGCAACCCCAATACAATTTATGAGGGATCGTGGCCCTAGGAGCGCGGACGCAGCGTAATTTATGAGGGATCGTGGCCTTGGGAGCGCGTCCCGTGGCACATTCATTGGCACGTTCCGCAGCGCGTCCCCTCGGCACGTCCCGCGGTGCGTCCCCGTGGCACGTCCCCCGGCACGTCGCTTGGCGCGTCCCTTGGGACGTTCCGCGGCGCGTCCTCCTGGCATGTTCCCCTGTCAAGTAGCTCTGGGGGCAGCTACTATGTGCTGAGGCAGCTCGAGCTTAAGATCCAGATCAGTTCGGTCAGGACTCGGATGTAAAGGAGGACTCGACCCACAACGCTACAGAGCACAATCGCGACTTAGGGTACAGCTACCAGGCAAAAAGCACAGATCTAAGCGTACGGGTGTGCAGATCAATCACTTACTCACGGGGGAGGGGGAGAAGGAATACGATCGACAACGATGGGGGACTATTGTGGCTACGTATTGTAGAGCAAAGTACACGGACGAGGGGGAGACGCGGGAGACATAATTAGAGCGCGTACACGCATACTACACTCAGGCGTGTGAGATGCAGCGACGGGGGGAGGGCATGCCGCAACTTATTATTACACATGTGTTGCAAGCACGGGCTAAACTTAAATCTGGGACGGCCCCCGGGGAGGACGGAATTACAGCTGAAATGATCAAGATGTTGGGTGTTGCGTGTGTTTATGCTGTGTGTGAGCGTTTTCAGTATAGGATGGCAAACCCGCACGTGTCGGAGGAGGTGCACTCTTGGCAACTTGTGAATATGGCATTCTTACAGAAAATCCCTGGCACGGCCAACATGGATGAATAGAGAGGCGCTGCGTTGTTATCGGTGTTCGGGAAGTGGTACGTCATGAGTATCATGCAACTTGTGCAAGAATGGGAGCAACAGAAAGATGGGGTTAGGAAATTTCGGGATGGGCCGGGTACTTTTGGGGGGTTGCCGGGCGTCTCATGTTCACACGTCGTTGCACCGACGCGGGCTGTGTTGGCACGGGGGTTCGAGTGGCCAGAGGTGTCACCAACGGTCTTGCTAGTCAGGGATGTCTTGCAGGCGTATGACCACCTCATTTCGAGTCAGGCTGCTCAGGCTATGGCGTCTCGTGGTTTGCATCCGCTTCTCATTGCTAGCCTCCTGAAAGAGGGGGTCAAACTCGACATGCGGCTGAACTTCCCGTACCTGCTTGACCCCCCGGTCATCCCATACACGGCATGCGAGAAGACAGGGAGCCCTGATGCCACCTACAAGTGGCAAGCTCTGGCAGAGAAAGTACACGCAACGGTAATCCCCACATGGGTTGCCAAGGGTTTCGGGGTGAATTGCGGTGCAGGCCGGTGGCCATTTTTACATGCATCTTGGACCGATAATAGGATATATGGTGCGACGGATTTGCAGCAACTGCAGGAGATGTTTCAGGATGTGACCAGGGTGATGGTTGAGCACGGCTTGTTTCGGAAAGTGAGCAGTCTTCAAATCTTAACCCCAATGCAGAGTGATGAGGTACAGTGCGTCAGGTGGCAGTTTCCTTACCCGCGCTGTCGCGAGATTCCGCCTGCATGTGTAGGTGTAGCGAGGCTGGGCCCGTGCCCCAACACCGAGGGGTACCCAGTACCCGCGGATGTGGAGGCTTACGACGTGCCCGTGTGCGTTACGACGGAACTGCTGGGAACCGTGGTGCATTGTGAAGGTACGGCGGGTTCGGGGGTGGAGCACAGAATCAGTAAAGCGTGGAAGTGCTATTGTGCTGAGCCCGGGTTACAGGGGCAGCTCCTCTCCAGAACTGAAAAAATTCAGCGTTACCGAGAAACGGTCCAATCTGTTTTGTCTTGGGGGATGGAATGCGGTACAATGTCACAAACGGAACTCACCAAATTACAGCAATTCGAGATCGGGATTATACGTAAGTTATGCCGTTTTCGGAAAAAGCCGCACCAAACCATGGAAGGTTACATGCGTGGGGCCAACCGCACGGCACGCACGGCATGCATTAATGCTGGCCATCTGCTAGTCACGGAAATCATCACGGGGCGGTTCTACGATCTTATTGGGGACCTACACGACAAACGCGACCTGGGAGGGTGCCACACGCAGGCGTGGGATATGTGGAGTTTCAACAGCCAGGCCTCGTGGCGTCATGATGTCACCCACCAGAGAGCATTCGGGCGACACCCCGGCAAGTATCGGAAGCTAGACCCGACCGTGCGATTGCACCGAGCAGGGTGGAAGAAACGAACGACGCCGGAAGATCCTTTAATACAGGCGTTTGGGGTGAGCTGGATGCAACGTTTGGGGCCGCGTTAGGCGGAGGGGAGGGCGACATTTATTCAGACGGCTCTGGAGAAGTACGGTTTGCATGGTAGGCAATTGCACGCCCTCCGGCTGCAACAACAACAGGCCCGTAGGTGTGCGTACGAACAGCGGTCCGACACTGCGCAGCAGGTGGTGGCGACGGAGAGGGCGGCGAAACGTGCGAAAACAATACACTTTGCTGAGACAAACGACCTGGATTGGCGATCGAGTGGCCGAGGTTTCCCACTGCCAGCCAACCTTCAGGCCATATGTTGGATATAGTCTGATACTCCGTTATTTGTGGACTGGATCTGTGGTGTGTCTGTGTGTAATGATTCGAAGTGGGTATCGGCAGTACAAAAGATGCAGCGAGCACTGTACCAAATTTGGTGCGACGGAACCATGAGGAATGCCCGAATGGGCGGACAGTGGGGGGAACACATCCCGTGGGAACTCAATGCAAGGGCCGACGAATTAGCCACATCAGGGTTACGACGGAGAGGGGGGGGGAGGGTTTATGATGACGAGTGTGATGTTACGACGGGTGGTGTGTATTCCTTTACAATTATGGGTGCAGACGGACGGTGGGTGCAGGGAGGGATCAATGGGAGGAGGGATGGACGTG